AAGAGTACGGTCCCACCAGGGCCCACAGGAGTCAGGTTTTCTCTGCTATACAATTCCTGGCATATCTCCAGGAAGAACATTGAAATTTCCTTATTAAACTTCATGGACGTATCAGGATAAAATATTCCAAAGGAAGGCAAAGCCGATTAACTTGGAGCAAAGTTTCAAAACTAATCTGAGTGGGGAGACCACCATGCACAATAGAAAGACTTTGAAGCTGGCAGAGGATGGTTTGAATCCTAACTTTGTCCTTTACAAGCTCTGTTATCTTGGGCAAATCAGATGTTTCCCTAAATATGAGTACACAATCAAGGGTAGTATTCAAGCTGTTCTTTAGGACAATCCAGGGAGTATAGCAGCCAGTTTTGAGTGATGTTCCTAGTACGCAATGAATCACTTCATGAAAAAAATGAGTCTTGTATTCATTTCTTTTTTTTAAAAAAAAAAAAAGATTTATTTATTTATGCATACAAGAACTGGGGTACAGGCCAGAGGTGCGAAGGTGAGAGGATTCAGAGACAGAGCGGTGAGCAGAACAGGCAGATGGACTGAAAACACTGCTGAGGGGAGCAGCGGGCGAGGCGGGAGAGGTCAGCCACGCCATGTGGGTATCTCCCTAGCCAGCGATCGAACCCACGCTGCAGAGGCTGCAGACCGCTTCACAGTGCTGTGCTCAACTCCCTGCACCACTAGGGAGGCCCCTTGTATTTATTTCTTTAGCTCCATCTGAATATGTCAAGGAGAAAGTTTCTATTTGGCCCGAACTTTTTAACACTGGCTAATTTCATTTTGTAACAAATGGACAGTAGGTTTAAGGCTCAGGCCTAGAATTTAGACACAGTTTTTCTTTTACTGAAGTCTGTTCCTAAGTAGAACTAAATGACCTCTGTTGTCTTTTACTAGGAGTTGGCCTTGCTCTCCCCCAAGTCCACTAACTAGATGCACTCCCTCTGAAATTGTTCTGGATGACTCACTTCTCCAGGAGAGCATGAGATTTCCCTTTTCTTTTAGGTCCTGGGGCATTCTGGCACCATCTTGGTAAAAATTAATAGTATTTCCAAGTAATGTCTCTTCCTTCCCTGACATCTTAGAATACAAGCCTGTGCTGTCTAGATTCTGTCTTTAAGTAGTTGGGCCACATCATTACTAACAGTAATAAGAATAGCATATTTTCTCTGGATTCTCCTCGTTTTAGAGCTGGGCCCCTGGTTCTTCCAAAATTAATGGCTAGATGACTTGTGCCCTGGGTAAGGCCAGCTTCGTTTAGTTTTGGCAGCTTGCTACACTCATCAGCTTGTTATTGCAAACAACAGCTTGTGGCTGTGATGTGACACATTCCAGCCACAGGGGCAAGTGGCTTTGATTTGGAGCTGGTAGAGATGCAGTTCATCGTACAATGATGCATCCTGAGATGTCCTGAAAGGTTGGATTTAGGCTCAGACATGAGATCAAAGGAGATGATACAACCAAATAATTTTGATCAATGATATGAATCAAAATGCACAAGAATTGAACCACTGTGTGTTTTGATTTATTGAGGTTTATGCAGGAAAAAAAAAAATCAAACCTTTTAATTTGAATATTACACATGTGAATGTTACTATTGCTAACAAAGCAGTTCTACTCACATTTATCTCTTGATGTTTTTCATTTCAGTCCCTTCAATGGAGGATATTTTGTAATGTATTAATATATTGACTTAAATGAAATTTCAACTGCTGACCATAGCCCACAAGACCCAGGATGAGCTTCCTCATCTAGTTATTGTCACTTGCCCACACTGACTTGTTTTCTATTTCTGAAATTTGCCAAGTTATTTTCTACTTCAGGACTTTGCACTTTCAGTCTATCTGAAGGACCCTTTCTCAGCTCTGAAATGGCTGGTTTTTTTTTTTTTATCATTTAGGTTTCAAATAAATGTCACATCCCCAGAGACTTCATTGACCACCACTATTTCAAAAAGTTTTCCACGCCTTATTTTGGTCCTTATTAGGTCAGATCTGCCTATAAACTACAAACTACAGAAAATATTTTGATTGCTATTTCACTTCTCACATGAATTGCATATAATACCTTGCACCATTCTTGTTGCAGGGAAGTTAATTGTCAGATAGAATGGATGCCTAAGGCATTAGGGTTTAATTGTCTAGAGATGTAATCTGTTATATCATGTGGTTTGTTTCCCTCACAGCACTCATCACACTCTGTAATTATTTATCCTTTGTTTATTGTTTATCACCCATTGTAAAATGTGAGCATCATGAGGACCAGGAGTTTGTTGTCTGTCTTGGTCAGACTGAATCCTAAATACCTGTCACAATTGGTCTGTCACATCATAAATGTAATCTTTGTTGATGAATGAAAGGATGTTATTCGCCTTGATAATTTAGAATCTTTGTAATGCCCTAGGGACAGGTTTCTTAAACTGTTGTGTAAGGCCAGAGTTGTGGGAGGGGGCGGTGAGAAGATTCACCAGAGACAGAGTGGGGAACAGAACAGGCAGATTGACTGAAATACACTGCTGAGGGGAGTGGTGGGATAATCAGGAGAGGTCTGCTGTGCCATGTGGGTAGCTCCCTGGCCAGGGATCAAACTCGTGCTGCAGTGGCTGCGGATAGCTGAAAGACTTTTTTTGGAGGAAAGGGAAAAAAGTTCAAGGTGAGTTTGAATGTATGTTAAGACATTCAAAGTGGTTTTCTTTTTAAAATGAAATGCTTGATTTTTGTTTTGTCTTGATTTCACATGGCATAGTTGAATTTGTCCAAAAAGAAAGAAAGAAAGAACACCTGCAGAACACAAACAAAATTGTGGTTAATTGAATGATATCTTCAAAAATAGAGAGAACTGATTTGCAATGTTATTTATTATAGAAGGGGGGTGAAGTCACTGTTTACTATCCCCAAATGAAGAATTTGCTAACAATTTTGTCAAAAACCAAGAACACTGATAGTTTACTAGAAAGTTTTCTGCCCACAATGTTCAAATACATCAAAAAGTAAAGGAAGAAAACAGTATGGCTGTTTCTCAGAATATGAAACAGAAGTACCATGTGACCCAGCAATTCCACTTCAGGCATATACCCCAAAAGAATTGAAAGCAGGCATTCAAACAGGTATTTGTATGTCTTCCTTCATAGCTGCACTATTCACAATAGCCAAAAGGTGGAAGCAACCTAAGTGTCCAGGGACAGATGAATAAATAACCAAAATGCCATCATTACAGACCATGGGTGAACCTGCAGGGCATTAGGCTGAGTGAAGTAAGTCCCTGGCAAAGGACAAATACTGCATGACCCCACTTACAAGTGGTTCCTAGAGTAGTCCACTTCACAGGGGCCAAAGCAGGAGGTTGTCCGCGGCTGGGGAGGGAGGCACGAAGAGTTAGTGTTTAATGAATACGGTTTTAGTTGCAGATGAAAAAGTTCTGGAGCTGATGGTGGTGATAGTTGACACACAATGTGAATGTATTTAAATGTTGCTGAACTGTACGCTTAAAAATGGCTAAAATAAATTTTATGTTGTTTATATTTTACCATCGGGGAAAAAAAACGTGCAACTATGGTCGAACAAAGTGTTGGAAATGGAGGTCTATCCCTGTTGTGCCTAGTGATGACAGACTTGTTGCCCGGGAGTGGCCCAGGTCAATCCCAGAAACTGAAGGCTCAGAATTTCAAGCACTGCGACTGTGTGGCCTTCAAGGAACAAAGGGAGTCTGGGGAGGATTCCAGGTCTGGTTGAAAGCAGCCTTTCAGTGCTGCCCCGCTCTTGCCTTCTGCCATTCTTTGCTTTTTTAAGTGCTTGATGATGTCCTGAGAGACTTTCCTCAGTGGAAAAAAGGGGCAAACACATACTTAGATGGATTTGATCAGGAGGATAATGAAGCACCAGACTCGGAAGAGGAGGACAAGGAAGATGGAGATGAAGATGAAGATGATGAAGATGAAAATGAAGCTGGTCCTCCTGAAGGCTACATGGAAGAGGAGGAAGATGAGGATGAGGATGAGGATGAAGAGGAAGCCGGCTAGGAACAGGGGGAGGGCGAAGAGGAGGTGGGCCTCCCATACTCGATGAAAGAAGAAATTCAGGATGAAGACGATGATAATATCTATGTTGAAGAAGGGGAAGAAGAGGAAGATGAGGAAGAAGGTCTTCGAGGGGAAAAGAGGAAAGGAGAGACTGAAGATGATGATGAGGAAGAAGATAACTAGCTCATTCTGAGACCAGACTCCCTCACGTCCTGGGGGTGCAATAGAGTGATCACATCTTCTCTGTTTCTTCATGTAAGATGGCCATCCCTACAGAAGATAACGTGTAACTTTTTATAGGAAAAAGTGTGATTTTACTATGTTTGCCTAATCATTTCAAATAAGATTTACTGATCATATTGTATGTAGAGGACATTTTTCATTGACTTCATTGTGAAATTCTCTAGCAATTTATTTAGAATCTTAACTTTTCTAATTCACGCTAACTATTGGTCATTTTTATCCCATAATTTAAAAAAAATCGCTTTTTTCAAAAAAAAAAAAAAGGGGGGGGGCGCAGCCCTGAGGAAGCCGGTGTGGTGCGCCGTGCCTCAGGAGACTGCCTCGCGGCAGCAGCGAGGGCCGCACTCCCACAGGCGCCGAGGGAACGCGGCGGGTCGTCGAGGCTGGCGGCCGCGCGGGGCTAAGGGCGCCTCAGGGGAGCCAAGAAGCTCGCGGTCAGCAGAGCCGCGCGTAGGCCGCCGGGCCTCAGTTTCCCTCGGCGGCGTGCGCGGGGCGCCGCCCCCTCTGACGTCGCGGGCCGGGCGGGGCCGGGCGGGCCGCCAGGGGGCGCGAGCGCGGGGCGGGCGCCCCGAGGTGGGCGCGCGGGGCCCGAGCGTGGCGCCCCCCGGCTGGCGGGCCGTGCGAGGCGGAAGCCTGGGCTGGCGGCGGGAGGCGGGGCGGCCGCGCTGAGTCACACCGGATTGACCCGCCCGCCGCTTCCAGGGGCGGAGGTGACAGCGGGCCGGGCCGGGCGGCCGCCGCAGCACGCCGAGCCGAGCTCCGCCGGGCGGAGAGCAGGTCAGAGGCCGGGCGGGGCGGGACGGGGAGCCCGGGCGGCGGGCAGAGGGTCCCGCGCCCCCGGAGACGCGCCGCGCGGCCGGGCCTGCGCCGCCCCTGCCCCGCGGCCGCCGCAGCCCCGGCCGGGAGCCCGCGAGGGGCGGCGGGGCCCAGGGCCGCGCTCGGAGCCCGCGGGTCGGCGGTCGGGTCTGGCCCCGCGGGTGCGGGGGATCCCCGCGGAGCGAGGGATGCGGTCGTGGGCTTGTTAGACGGTGTCCAGCCCGGGGCTCTCTGCACTGCACCGCCCTGCCACTCAGGCGACGAGGCGGAATTTGAGAGCTGGAAAAGAATTCAGATTCGCCCGGCCCTCCTGTTTCACAGATGACATTCTGGCGTGCTCGGCAGGAGCGGCGGAGCTGTGTCAGGGAGGCAAGGAGGGATGGTTTCCGAAGCAGGACTAAGACCTGTTAGGCAAGAGATGCGAGTTTGGTTATAGTAGAATTTTGCAGTTGCTCACGACACCTGCGTTCCTCCTGCAGGGACGGATGATGTCCACCAGGCATCAGTTTCTCAAAGCACTTAACCTTGAAGAGGGTGACGATGCCGTCCGTCGAGGAAAGGAATATTGGGGTGCAAGGAGCATCTGAGGAGAATGCTTGGGGTGTAGAGTTAAATGGGGGGAGGGAGGGGCTTTAAACGCTGTCTCATTATTCTTTGTTAACTGTCTCATTTTGCCATAAGGAGGGTAAATATTTTTGGTATTCACATGATTCTATAATATTGTAACTCGCCTTTCGGTCTATTTTGCAGTCATTCTTTTGTATGTGAGCATCTTGTGTAGAAACACTTTCCTTTCATAGTGATACTGTGGTATGTGGCAAGCCAGTGGTAGCACTAATATTTAGAGCCTGAGCATAGTTTAGCTGATTGTTTGCATAACTAACTTACAGGGGGAGAGACATACTGATTAATCCAAAGTTTTGCAAGACTTAAATACCTGATAGCATAGCAGGCTGGTTTCTCAGAGTTAGTGGTGCATTTATTGCTCTCCTCCTGAATAGATACCAGGTGATGCGTGAGTTAGTTTATCCCTCTAGGAAGTTAGTTTCCATATAAATTATTAAAGAGTTTGTAGACCCTCTTCCATCTCTAAAGTTCACTGATTTTACATGTTAATTAGAAACATAAACCACTCATTGTGACAACAATCCCAGTTACTTTATCAGTGTTGGGTTAAAATAAGTGGGAAATGCTTTTTCAAATTATAGATACTTTGGTGTGAAAGTCATAGGTTCTGAGCCTGGGATGGAATGCTTTGTGAATGATGGATAAGAGCTAAAATCTGATTTGAGAGTGGCATCTTAGCCATGCACAGATAACTTTTGCAATAAACCAAGAACATTCTGTTTCAGAAAATGTGATAAGAGGTCTTCTATACAGTATTCATATTCTGTGTATTTTTCACTGAGACATAATAATCATCTTTATAGGCAATCTGTCCAAATATGCATGAGTTATTTATTTTGTTGTGTGGCCCAAAGCAGAGCCTCTCGTCTCTAGTTTCTTCTTTTCTGGCTTCTTTCTTCTGAGGGTCTCTCTTACCTGCAGAGAACCTCTCACATTCTCTTTCATTCACATTGCAAGTCAGAGTCTGCTTCGAGCACTGATTGAACTGACACTACTTTTTCTCTTCAAGGCTATGATAAATAGGAACTCTTGAATCACCATTTAAGATCTCCTAATAACTGAGGGTGAGTATTCATTTTGAGCAGGGTAAGACTTCCCGAGGTTCTAGCTCTGAAAAAGGGTTAAGTGGACGCATTTAGATTGTTGTCTTCTCTGTGCTTGGAGACTGCCAAAGGAAGCCTCCAGAGCCAGGAAGCTCATTAACCTCTGCCTCAGAAGGAAGCTCTTTCTACAAGACGCATAGCAAATTTTCAACTTCTTTATTATTCTCATCCCTCCCCATCCCTTTATCAATGCTGGGCTAAAAAAAAAAGTAAAACGTGATTTTTCAAATTTCAGATACTTTCGTGTTAAATTTAAGGGAACTTTTTAAAGTGACAAAAAACAAAATAGATTGCTAATAGAGTCTTGCATGACTAATGCCAGGTGTAAGGATTGAATTATTTTCTGTGTTGCTTATTTTATTGTTTCTGAAGTCAGACAATGTATTTATGTACGAAATGGCATTATTACAGGATTATCTGCTCTGAAATTCTCAAGTGTGAGTGGTCTTTGCATAAAACATCTTTCAAAGTTCGTAAAGAATACATCTAAGGACTTTCACAACATCTCGTCTCAGAAACTAATATTAGTTTCTTATACTCAGCTCAGGAAAAGATCCAAATATATGAATTTTCAAACTGGGTAATCTTGTTGGTTAGGAGTTATGAGATATCAGTCTTTCACCTGGGAAGGCAGAACAGTCTAAAGTAGCAGCCATAAATTCCCATCACAGAACAGCTCTACTAATGAAAGAGATTAAACAGGCCAAGGTGTCAGCTTTTAATTGGGCAGCCATAGAAAGAAAATGGACATAAAGTAGATAAAATTTATTGTTTTATTTTCAGATTTGTAGGACCTTCAAGGTGAGGGATGTGACTACCAAGAGCTGGGGCAGCCCAGCGAAGCAAGTAGGAGTTGTGCTTGGAGTCTGGTGTCTGAACCAGTCAGGTTTTGGTCCTGACTGATTCAGTCATTCAACAAATACTCACTGAGCACCTATAGTTGTCAGGCAATGTCCTAGATGCTGGGGAGACAGCTGTAAACAAAACAGACAAAGCCTTGCCCTCATGCAGCAGACATTCCAGTGACATGGAGGTAGGCAGAATATAAATGTGTGGGTGGCTATAAGTCACATGATCATAAGTGCTATCGAGAACCCTGAAGCAGTGTAAGTGGGAAAAGAGAGATTTTTTTAAAAAGATTTATTTATTTATGCATACAAGAGCTGTGGTGTAGGCCAGAGGTGCAGGGGAGGGGAGGGGAGAGGATTCACCAGAAACAGAGTGGGGAGCAGAGCAGGCAGATCTTCTGAAGTACACTGCTGAGGGGAGCAGCGGGCGAGACAGGAGAGGTCTGCTGCGCCATGTGGGTCAGCTCCCTGGCCAGGATCGAACTCAACTCTTGCTGCAGTGGCTGCAGACAGCTTCATAGTGCTGAGACTTAACCCCTTGCTCCACTAGGGAGGCCTGAGAATTTTTTTTTTTTTTTTTTTAAATACAGAGTGGCCAGAGATACCTCTTAGCAAAGATCACTTTGATCTAAGATTTGAGGGAATTGAGGGAGTGAGGAGGCAGAGGGGTGAACAACTTCCCAGCCCTGACGCAGGAGCTCATTTGGCATGTGTGAGGCATGGCAAGGTCATGGTGGCCAGGCAGGGCCAGTGTGGGCGATGGGAACGTGGCAGCAGATGAGGGACAGTGGGCGGGCGGGGGGCACATCAGTGTAGGCCATTGTGAGGAGTTTGGCCTTTTCTCTGAGTGAGGGGGAAGAAGCCATGAGAGGGTTTGAACAGAAGACTTATGATCACATGTGCTTTAAAAGGATCATTCCGGCTGCTAGGCAAGAGTAGGCAGGAGAGGGACGAGGCCGAGGCAGGCAGACTGTCCCTTTCATGCTCACTGTGGGACCCTAAACCCTACTTTTTTGGGTCTTTGCTTCCTCATCTGTAGAACATCCAGGTCCCCTCTAGCTCTAGAATTTTAAGAATGTGAGTAATGAGGAGTCGCTTTTAGGAAGCGAGAAGATTGTATACACAGAGGTTCTGAAAGTAAATAGCTTCAGATAACCTGAGAACTTGAAGCCAACTTGCCTTTAGCTCTTTCACTCCAAATCAAGAGTAATCAGGTCTTTTCAGTCAGGTTGTCAGGTCATGAGAACAAAAACACTGTTACGAGAATATTCTCTGCTGATCCCTTTGGTGCTCTGCTGATCCCTGAATTTTCCCTTCCTGCTTAGAAAAGGATGGAAAGCTGTTATTCATCAACAGAGCTGGCAACCAAAATAGCTTTTGTTATTAGGAAAGTTGGAAACGTTGGGAAAGGAAACAGTTCTAATTTCATATTTATCATTGGTCATTTGAATTCTTTTTTCACATGCAACAAGTCTAAAAGATTTCTTTTTTAATTCCTTTATCCCTTCCCCCTTCTCCTTATAGCTCATAGACACTTATTCTAATGTACTTAATTACTTCTTTGTATAATATCGTGCTAAGTGGAAATGTTTGTTTTATATGGATATATTTTCATCTATAAGACTATATTTCTTATAGTCTTTTCTTATAGTCTTTCATTTTGCTTCTTTTTCTCTAAGTACTATTTTTAAGACCTACCCATGTCTCTCTGTTTCTGGATGCTGCGCTTTGCTTGATGCCATGTGAAGAACCACGGCTGTGCTTGTCTTCACCAGTACAGTAGGTTCTCAGGTTGCCCCTTGTCCCTAACACCACCTATTACGCCAGTGGACAGCCTCGTACTGGTGTACTTAGAAACTGTGCAGTATATCTGTGTGGTGTTTAGAAGGGCATTGCTGGGTTACAGGCTTGCGTGTTCTGAATTTGATAAAATAGGAGCAGATTTCACTCCACAGTGGCTGTACGTGTCTCTCTCCCTCCAGAAGGTTTGAGGGCTCCTGTGTCCTCATATCCACCAACATTCATCATTATCTAGTTCACCTCCTTTTCTAATCTCATCGTTTCAAAGTGATTTCTTATCATTTTGTATCTTGCCATTCATGTTTCTCTGACTGCCATCTCTTTGAGTCTCTTCCACATGTACCTTTCTTCTGTAAGTTGCTTATTCATATCTTTGTCCATTTCCTTTGGGAATTTGCTGTCTGTATCGTTACTGTTGACTTGTGGAAGTAATTTGATCCCATAGATATTCACTCATTGTCGTATAGAGACTTTGCAGAGAGCTTCTCATTTGGTATCTGTTCATTTCATCTTTGTTGTCCTTTGATCAAGAAAAAACTCAATTTCAGTGTGATCAAGTAAGTTCTCTGGCTCGTATTTTATG